CCGCCCCGGTGCCCGGCCTCCCCCGCCGCCAGGGAGCTCCTGCCCCTCTCCCGCTCCACGGCCAGCCTTCCCCGGTTCGCCTTTCGCCGCCCGCTCGGGCGCTCCCGGGGATGCCCCGTGCAGCCCACCTACTGCGTGTGTCTCCAAAGCCCCCGCTCCTACCCCCGCCAGGACCGCGGGGTTCTGCCCGACCCTGGTCTCCTGGCCGCACACCAGCCCCTATCCGTGCCCCGATGCTCCGTCCAGGGGAGAGCCCCGCTCTGCCCGCTCCCTCTCTGTGGGCGCTCCCCGCTCACGGCGCCCTATCCCCGGCATCCCTCTGCCCTTCAAAGCATTTCCTGCACGGAAAACTTGCCTTAAAGTTTAATGCTGCCGCCCGGAGCTCCTCCCCCTGCCCCGCCGGCTCCCCCGGCCCCTACCCGGGGTCTGGAGAAGTCCCCGGGCGGCGATTAAAGGTCAGGGAGAGGATTCTTCCCGGCGCTGCTCCAGGGCTGCCGGCGGGAAGGGGGGCGGCCCGCCCGGCCCATCCCCTCCGCCCCTCCACGGCGAGCGGCGGCGGCGTTGGCGGCCCCGCTGCAGCCGCCCGGGGAGGGCTCCGCTGGCTGCCGCGGCCCGGCTCCGGCGGCGGGCGGGGAGCAAGCGGAGGAGGGGCGGGGGGACCGGCTGCATCGCGCGTGGAGGAAAATCTCCTTCCAGGTGGCTGCACAGCTGCACTAGAGCTACTAGCTGGCTCCAGGGGCTAGTGATTTGAGGACTGTTGCTTCCATCCAGGGGGCCTCGAATGGATGCCTTATATCCAAAGGATTTGGTTGTTAGAGAAGATGCTTTGAATACAGGGATTTCCAAGTGCCCTCATTTATTGTCCTAGCAGTCTGACCAGCGCCTGGAAAGCATATTCTGGGTCGAAAAAGTGGAGGAAACAAAAAGGAAGCAAAAAGGTTTTCAGTTAATACTGAATATCACAAAGCCGCCTCAAGAACATGTGAGAATTTGTATTTTTCTTTTCCCTCTCTATTTTAGTGGCTGGACCAGAACTGTCTCTAGATTGACTCCCTTAGCTGTAATAGGTGTTTGGAATCATGGCGGCAGGTGTAGCAGCTTGGTTACCCTTTGCCAGGGCAGCAGCCATAGGATGGATGCCAGTGGCTACTGGTCCCATGCCAGCTGCTCCACGGCAGGAGAGAAAGCGAAGCCAGGACTCTCTGATTGTACTGAATGTGAGTGGCATCCAGTTCCAGACATGGCTGGACACCTTAGAGCGCTACCCTGACACTCTGCTGGGCAGTTCAGAGCGGGACTTCTTCTACCACCCTGAGACACAGCAGTACTTTTTTGATCGGGACCCTGACATTTTCCGCCATATTCTCAACTTCTACCGCACTGGGAAGCTCCATTATCCCCGCCAGGAGTGCATCTCAGCTTATGATGAGGAGCTGGCCTTCTTTGGCATCATCCCTGAGATCATTGGTGACTGCTGTTACGAGGAATACAAGGATCGACGGCGTGAGAATGCTGAGCGCCTGCAGGATGATGCTGATACGGATCACGTAGCTGAGAGCTCCCTACCCTCAATGACAGCTCGTCAGAGGATGTGGCGGGCCTTCGAAAACCCACACACCAGTACCCTGGCTCTGGTCTTCTACTATGTCACTGGTTTCTTCATTGCCGTCTCCGTTATTGCCAACGTGGTGGAGACAGTGCCCTGTGGGGTAAGCCCGGGGCGCATCAAGGAGCTGCCCTGTGGAGAGCGGTATGCGGTGGCTTTCTTCTGTCTGGATACCGCCTGTGTGATGATCTTCACAGTTGAATATCTCCTACGTCTTCTGGCAGCTCCCAGTCGCTACAAATTTGTGCGCAGTGTCATGAGTATCATTGATGTGGTGGCCATTATGCCATATTACATTGGTCTGGTGATGACAGATAACGAGGATGTCAGTGGGGCTTTTGTGACATTAAGAGTCTTTCGTGTCTTCAGGATCTTTAAGTTTTCCCGCCACTCACAGGGTCTGCGCATCCTGGGCTATACCCTGAAAAGTTGTGCCTCGGAGTTAGGCTTCCTCCTCTTCTCACTCACTATGGCCATCATCATCTTTGCCACAGTCATGTACTATGCAGAGAAAGGTTCATCAGCCAGCAAGTTCACCAGCATCCCTGCAGCCTTCTGGTACACCATCGTCACCATGACAACACTGGGGTAAGTGCAGCTGGTGTTTGGTTACAGCCAACATTTCAACAAGTGTATTGGCACGGACGGAAAACACTCAATTTAGAAAAAATGGTGATAGAAAAAAATGTGAGGGTAAGTTTTTGTTACAGAACTTTAGGACTACAACTTGTAACTTCCTTCTAGCTTTTTTACATGTTTAATTTAGTCAACAATATTGCTGAAATGAAAATAACCCAAATCCAAAAACTGCAAAAAACCTGAAAAGGCAAACAACAAAACAAAGCAAAAAAGTCTTCAAACTGTTTGGTTTTTGGTTTTGGACAGTGAAATTGGAATATTTTATGAGTACATGTGAGTTATCAGTGGATTTTTGGTGGAGTATGTATTTTCTGTTAGGAGCTGTTACAGTGTTCCTAAATTATTAATTTTTATAAGGAGAACCAAAGTGCAAGCTTTTGTTCAGTATGTGGATCTGCCATTTTGTTTGAAGTCATGTATTGATGTAGACATGGATATTGAGTTTGTTATTACAAAATGATTTGTTTTAATGAAAATCATACCTTGTCTTTACAAAAAAAATATATTAATGATTTTATTTAAGACACTGAACACATTTCCTTTGATTTTCATGGACATATAACTTTTAAATCATGAATGTCAAGCTACACTGACTGGTGATACACTCTGGAAAATGATCTGAGGAAGTGTGAGACATATGACACATCAAGAATGTGTTTTTAAATATAATTCTAATGGCAATACAATTTCTTTCAGAGAGTAGGGGTTAAAAAAAAAGTGTCACCGTTGACATTAGAATGCAATGCAGTTTAATGGAAAGATGAGACAGAGAAGTATTTTATGAAGTCTCTGATTCCAGAGTCTGATTGTATCAGCTGATTCTCTGCACCGAGTTATAAAATACACTTGTCTTTAATTACAACAGGGATTTAGAAGGTTGACTAATTTGAAATGATAATTTTTCCCTATTCTTAATTTTGAGTTGTATAGTACCATCTACGAAATTGAAAATTTGTTGATTCATTACAAACTACCTAGTTATTTAATAATTACTACATGGCAAACTTAGCACTTTCATTAAGGCAAAGCCCATCATTTTATTAGCATTTTGCCATATCTTGTTGGGACTGTTGAGACTTATGAAACATGTATAACTTTTAAATTTAACAAAATGAAAGTGCATTATTAAACTATTATGAAAAACTTGATTTATTATGTGCAATAGTAATTTACTTGGGAAACGCACATAAAAAATATTGAAAAAGATAAAAGGAATGTCTTATGCCACCATTTTTATACCAGGCTTTTATCTCCAGTGTGATATAACAAATGAAGATAAATATAGTGCATAGTAAATATTTCATACTTCTTGTAAGGGCAAGTTATGCTAAAAAGGAGTGACAAGAGCTTTGGGGATTTTAACCCGCCTTTTAGGTTCCTGGGTGGTTTTTGGTCTTCATTTTCTGTTGCTGGTGACAAATGGAAGGGATGAATTAGCAGAAGAAGCAAGTTAGGTATGGTAACTAGATCCACACTCCTGTATTTTCTGATGCTGATATTTCTTACCATTTATTTTTAATTAGAATAGTGATGTTTTCAAGAAAGAGTTGACTGATACTTTAACATAAAAAAACAGAAGCTGGTGTATTTTGAGGGGTTTTTTTGTAACAAAAGGTACTTTCTGAATAAGTTGTTTCCATGCTTATGCAGTGTGGAAAGTACTTGTCCATGGTACTGAACAGAAAATTTTCTTGTTTTGTGCCCAAATTGCAACTGATTATAACACAGGTATGGGATCACAGCTGGTGTTAATACGATTTGTTTGTTTTTTTGGTGCACAAACACACACACACACACAGACACACACACACACACACATATATACATCTACATGAGTATTATTCTGTAATTCCAGGTTTTGAAGTATTACTCTGAGTGAAATCTTCAAAAGTACTGCTGTAATTTGAACACAATTTCAAATCTCTTTGAATAGAACCTAAGAATCTGTTTTTAAGTATACAGCACACAATATTTTGGTCCCAAGTGGAACAAAAAGGGTTAAAGAGAATCCTCTCATGCTTGACTCCTTTTTCAAGGTAGTTTGAACAGAGAAAGTTTTGAGCAGGTTGAACAGAGATCCAAAGTCTCACCCTCAGAAGTTGAGGTGTGATACAGGTTCAAATAGGACAGACATCTCCGATTTTTATGAAATCTTTTAACAGTGCATTAGGTAGATTATGTCCTTTTAGTAACATCATGATAACTTTATAAAGATTATGTTTAAATGTTAAATATATATATGTGAATAATTTAAATAAAATTAGCATAATAAAAAGCTTTGAAATCTTTTTAGTTGATGGAATAATTACACAAAAGGAGAGGGAAGTTGCAGGGAAAAGCATCAAGGGTCAGTGAAAACTGATTGTAATTAGTACTGATACCTTTTCTATGTGCTAAAGCTTACCACCTCTTTACTAATACAGGACTCCTGTTCATTTTAACTTTAGTTTTAGCTGAATCAGGGGTGTATAAATGAACTTGACAGGAACAACTTCTCTCTTTTAGAAACAAAGCTTGATGAAGTCTTTATGTTTTAAATGACAGCAGGTTATGTGAAATACTACAAAAATTCATGAAAGCTAATAGCGAATAATAGATTAACATAAAATTGAGCTTTTGAGTCTTGGTGTCATTGTCATATTTTTCTGGATAGCAAGGGTATTGAGTAAGCGACCTTTGCAATTTGGGGAGTTATTACCTTAGAAGCAGAGCTATATTTCTCAGTTCTGCATGATTGCTGAGCAATTAAAGTGTCTTTAAAAAACATAGATTACATTTTCCTTTGCAGTGTGCTAGTGACTTCAAATATTACGATATTTTTGCCTCCAAGGATATACCAGCTATTAACTGCTCTTGACTGCTCAGCTCAAGTAGTACATGTACATGGAAATGTTACATGAAAAAGCTGAAAAAAAATGAAAGGAAGGGAAGAAAGGAGCAAAGGAAGAAAGAGAACATGAGAAAAAGATAAAGACGGAGAGAGAAAGACGCCTCTAGAAAAACAGCATGTACCCTTCCAGAAACGGAACTGTTTTAAACTCCAGACTAGTGTTTTATCAGGATTAATTGCAGCAAAAGTAAAGGAGAAACAAGAGGAGAAAGGAGAATAAAACTGAAAGAGGTCACAAAATATTTTATGGAGATTCAAGATAATAGTGGAAAGCACAGAGGTCAAGAATCAGGTTAGTGTGAAACTTGAGAGACAAAAGCTCAAGTCTATTGAACTGGGACTGGGAGACCTCCATGGGGGCTTGTGAACATCTACACCCATAATGACAGTTATGTCACTTTCTGCTGTCACCTTAAAACATGACAATCCAATAAATTTCCATCTGCCCTGTCAGGAGCCAGCAAATGAGCTGGAATAGCTGGTAAGCTTTTGAGGGTGTAAGGATATTGTTTGTTCCCAAGTCAGTCAATGCTATAGTGTAGTTTGTGTTTTATGAAGATATTATACTTTAAATAAGGAATGTAGTACTCTTCTGTGAGTAGTTCTAAGGCAATCTCACTGCTATATTAAAATTCTATTTTTATAGCTTTTACATTGGGTGGCTTTATAAAGTCACACAATGCTTCAGCAGATGAACACAATATGAAGGGAAGGTGAAACTCAAGACTACTCATTTATTTGCTTTCTTTGTATAAACTAGAGGTGTGTCTTTCAGAAAAGATAAAGCAGCTATTTGTTTTTATGATTTCTTAATATAGCCCATAATGTGTGAGGAAACCCACTTAAGATATATCAAATTCTCTGAAGACTTTATAATGAACAGATGACTAGATGTGATAACAGAAAGCCTCAGGGAACAAGTGAACAAGGGAAGAGAGCAAAGGATTTTCTTTGCCTGCATATTCATGTTTGCCATCTTCAGTCCTTTTTCCATTCTTTTTTCATTAATATGGTATGTTCTATCTATTTTTTTTCCCATTATTTATTCCAATTACCACTTTCCATAGTTTTCATGGTTGGGGTTTGTGCACTGGTTGACACCTTTCCTCCCTTCTTCAAGACAAGGTTAACATTTGTAATAAGACTCTGCTGGCTTTATTTTTCCTTCTTCTGCTCCTTTGTTCCAGATTCCTAATCATCCCTCACTACTAGACAACATCTTTCATTTGTCATCATTGTCATTCATTTGACCTGAACTTTCTTCAGAACAGATTTTTTGTTCTGACCTTTGCTTGATAGATTTTTCCTTATGAGCATCATAAAGTTTCCATATCATCACTTTTTTTCTCAAATGCCATACATATTCTCTTTTCTCACTACTGTGCCATTTTCAAGTGTCTTTAGTTCCTTATAGTCTCTGCATTTTAGTTTGAAATAATCCATCTTTTCAGAACTTTCATTAAAAAATTGAGTTTAATAAAATGTGACAAAAGAGAACAAAATTCAAAATCTTTGTTCTGTGAAAAAAAATTCATTAAAAGTTTGGATATATTCTTATGATCAGTGTTACAAATGTAAAGATTCACAAAGTTAGAGTATTATATCTGTATCTTGTAAGTACATATTGCTCATTCATTTTTTGTTTGATATTTTCAACCCTGTTTCAAATAGAACTTTTCTATTTTTGTCTTATATACAACCTAGTGGATTTTGTATTTTACAAATGTGTTTGATGTCTCAATCTATTTTCTCTTCACAGCAGAGACATTTAGCCTATATAACAGAGGAGGCACAAAGTGTAGTTGTGATCACCTTCAAAGTACATTACTAGATATTCAAAAAGGGCTCCAGGGAGAATCTGTTACTCTAAGGGTCATTTTGATAGCAGTAAAATTTATTTTTTTTTATGTAACAAAAGGATTACTGAAACTATATTGGGCTGTTGTTACTTGACAGTAAGAGAGCAGAGTAATTGTATTCTTACTTGGTTGCACTGGGGACCAGCTTTCCTCTTCAAAAAAACCCTGAAAATCTTAAAGGAGAAGTACTTGGCTTGTTT